AAGGAACAGAGAAGGACTACAAAAACACTGAGGAAAAAAAAAAAAGTTAAAAAATGGCAGGAAAAAAAAAAAATCAGAAAAAATATATACACCTACATTCCTTTGAAAACAAAGAAAGACAGATGTCAATCTGGAAGAGAACAATCTTAACAATGGTTTGAACAAGCACATATAAAAAGCCCATGCTTAGCAAATGTGCGGTTAGCATAAGGTTTAAGGAATTGCTAATACTAAGAATTTAAAATACCTAGATTCAAGATTCAATACAAGATTCAAATTATTTGGTCTAGCTAAAATACTTCGGTTGAAACCAACAGGACAAAATATTGCATCAAGTTCCTAGACTTCCAATTAAACAAGGCAGATTTAACCACAAATATGTCTTTCTTCCCTTCTGAAACTCCACTAAAATGTCAATAAAGAAATAAAACAGACATAGGTACATAAGGACAAAAAAAGGTGAGCAAAGATTTCAACAAATTTTTGGAAAATGGAAAACAAAAGGAAGATGGCTAACGACTAATAAAACAGAGGAAACCTTAACAGAAGGGAAGGGTGACAAATCACAAGAGACACACAAGATTTGGAGGCACCACAGACGTCGAAAGGTAAGGGACAGACATAGGGCTGACCACATAGCGGAAATGTATAAAAATATGTTTCAGGAGGGGCTGGTTGCACAGGTCCCCTCCTCCACCCATCACATAGCTAGATGAATACTCTCAACCACCCCCTGCAGTGGACAAGAGGCACTTTCCCCTAGCGAACTTCAGCAGAACCTCCCGAATTAGGAAGAGCAGGGAAAGTAGAATCCAGGGACTGAAAACAGAGTGGGGGGATTACCTTAAGTGATAATCTTCAGGCTGCATGAAAGGATCTGCCACCACCCCAAGCCCTTTCCCCACCCTTTGGCAATCAGGGCTTTACCACCCAGGCAGATGTCTGGAGGGAAATACTGCATAGTGGTTAACAGCTCAAACTCTAGTGCTGGGCTGCCTGGGTTCAAATCCTCACTCTGCTACTTTCCATCTGTGAATACTTGGACAAGTTACTTAACCTCTGGATTCCAACTTCCTCATCTGAAAAAGCTTAGTTTTTCTATATCTGCAGTACTCTCAACTTACTATTTCACTCTGGCGAAGTATAAGAAATACTTATAAATACTCTGTTAAGTTGGGATATTCAAGGAAGAGAAAATTCAAGGGAAGATCAATAAAATAAATGGGAGGAAGGAATCCTCTAGAAGTCACTGATTTTTCAACAATAAATATCCTTCATTATACTTCAAGAATTCTCATACGAGGGAGAGGGGAGTAGGCAGTAACCTCCCCTCTGGTTAAGAATTACTATTCCAGATCATCTAATGATCGTAATGAACCAATTAACATAAAGAATGAGTAGGCACAAACTGCCCAAGTGCTAGACAATTTATTAAGAGCTTACTACGTCTTAATAGGTGAGGATGCGCCAGTGAACAAGAATGCTACTGTCCCTGCCCTAGTGGAACCAACTAAACTACCCAGCGGGCCAGTGCAGCAGCCTGAGGATAAATCAAATCCTACGATCGAGAAACTAACTTAATATTTCATAATTGCCAATATAAAATCAAGTTGGAACTACAGACCCATACTATGTGCTATTAGCATTCATAACAATGACCATTTCTTGAATGTAAACTACATATCAGGAACTTAGATAAATGCTCTACATGTATCATCTCATTTGAATATGACAACTATCCTATCAAGTGGATATTATTTCCCTCATTTCACAGACAAGGAAAATGAGATTGAAGAGGCTGAATAATTTGCCCATGATTACACAGGTAGGCAGAGGCAGAGCTGGGATGCATCAAGTCTCTCTGACTGTAAAGCACACGCTCTTTCCACTCCACAATGGCAAGGTTCCCAGAGGTACCCTCTAAAATTATTGGGTAATGAATTCAAGCCTGGTTCAAAGATACACAATTTAAGTCTGCCCTTCTCTAATTTTCTCTAAATGGTCTCAATTTAGTATTTTGTCTAGTGGTAGTACATAAGACTACTAGGAAGAAGAAAAACAAAGTTGTGCATAAAATCTCAAGTGAGAGGCGTCCTACATTAGACTTAAGACTATCGCTAGCTCCCTAAAATAATGTATTTAGCGACCTTCATTTTATGAAGCAATACCAATCTATTTAGCCTGACAGAATCTATTAGGTTAAAAAAAAGGGGTTGTATGTGTGTGTGCACATGTAAGTGTGTATGTATAAGTATATATATAGTTTTTTTCTAGTTTCACATTATTTCCAAAATTTTATTTTCTTATTTAAATATGCCTTCAGAAGAATCTTTAAAAATCAAATACTTAAGGGATGAAAGATTAACAATATAAATATTTCTACAGTTCATATAGGGACAGGAAAGTTTAATTTTCCATGACATTATTAGCAATGCTGTGATATATCTTGAGCAAATCATTTCACCTCTGGGCCTCCCTAAGAGGAAATCAGATGACACCATCTCTAAGGCATATCATACCTTTAAAATTCTATGATACTATAAATAACAACCAGGAAACCCTATAAAACACTTTTCAAAGCATGATCAACTTTATCTTCGAACAGGGTAAGCAAGGGGGTACAGCAGAAAGAGAAATCTAACCAGCATTTACTATTTTATCTGGACCACTTAATTCAAAGCTCCTTTGGCAGCATACCCACGCTGAAGGTGCAGAATTGACAAGACTCCAAGGAACCGCCAACTCTTGGGGAAGAACTGGCCAGTTCTTGTTCTTTAATCTAAAGGTGTTTAGTCTGAAAAGAAAATAAATCTCACTTTTATAGCCCATGAAAACCATCCCTCTCTATCTAAATAATCTTTCCATCTCAGCCTCAAGGAACTAATAAAAGAAGAAAGGTTAAGACAGCTGAGTGAGTGCCCTTCTTTCTTTAGTAAAAAAGGGTGAGGATTTAAAAAAGTGATGAACTCTGTCCATAGTAGCAAGATAGGACTCAGGGTTTTTGACTATTCTCTCTGGTTCCTCTTTAATAAACAAGAAATGTGCACCAAATATGGAAAAGGAGAAAGTGTGTGAATAATGTAGTATTGAAATTCTCAAAGATCACATATTCTAGTCTGTTTTCTCTTTATTCGTGATTAAATATTTATATTACCTGACTAAATTAAACGCAAGCCTCAGGGCATGTTTACAATAATTCATAAAGTTATAGGCCAGGTCACTGTGGTTTAAATTTACAACTTGATTTTATAATTAAGCCCCAAGGAATATTATGGGAAAAACAAAAGAATGCAAATTTATACACTTATTTTCAACAGCAATAACAAAAAATATTCTAAAAACAAGAATAAAATTTAACAAATCAAAATTAAACATTATCTTTAAAACATCTCATTTCACATCCTCCTTCTAGAAGTGCTAAAAATACCAGAGGTCAGTTACTGTTCATTTTATACACATAGACAATAAAGTCAAAATTGGAGTAAACAACTTTACTAAAATAAATACAGTAAAAGAAATAGGATTAAAATTCAGTAAAAGAAATAGGATTAAAATTCAAAGCTTCTGATTACAAGATCCATGCTCTATTCAAAAATCAAGACACCCAATCAAAGATCCTGCAAAAATTCAATTACTCAGGCTTCTGCTCTGCAGGTTAAAAATGTCTAGGCAGGAAATAAACTCTCTGATGAACTTCACAGAGGAAAATAAAAAGCATAAACACACTTAAAGGACCTGATAAAATAGACACCTGCATAATAAATAGTTAATGAGGATTTTTTCCCAATTTTGACAAGTCTTTGACTTAAAATTTTAAACCACACCATCCTACAGGTATGGAGAGGGTATATCAATACAACACTGCTAAACACATTCTGAGCCAAGGGTACAAGTTTGAATATGAGGCTTTACACAAAAATTTTAAGTATCTATATACCCCATTACATCCCCGCACCTCCAGAAATTACTTCATTACGAATCTATGAAGGGTTTCCCCAACCACATATGTCTAATCACTAGAGGATTTACTAGAAAACACTTTTCAGAAAGAAATATGTTAGAGAATTATAATTTTATTAACAATTATCTGTTATTTCACAAATATTCAAAATAAATCTTTGTTAGTTACTAATATACTTTTCTAAATGCAATACACTTAACGTATAGATTAAAACATTTTTTTGAGTCTAGAGCAGTGGTTCTCAACCAAGGGTGATTAGCAATGTCTGAAGACTTTTTTGGGTATCACACTGGAGACTGCTTCTGGTGTCTAGTGGGTAGAGGCCAGGGACTCTGCTAAACATCCTATCATGTACAGGACAGACCCCCCACAAAAAAAGAATTATCTGGCCCCAATGTCAATAGTGCCAAAGTTGAGAAACCCTGGTCTACAATCTAACATATTATAAGGACTCTTAAGTTTTACTTACCTTTGAATTTAATATCCAGACCACTAAATTCCAATTCAACTCCTTGAAGTGCTTCTCCCAGAGTTTCATGGTAATGACTGATACTTTTTTTTGACCCCACACAGAATGGAAGTGAAAAGTACTTATATGTCTCTTGGCGATTATGGTAGGGCCCAACAGTATTCATCCATAAGACAACTTCCTCTTTATCTTGATACTGGAACAAAAAAAGCAAGTAAGAATATGTTTTTTAAAAAATCTAATTCAAATTAAGGAAATATTTATTATTTGTTCTAAACAAAAGTGTCCTGTCTCTGTTTGGGAAGCTATAAAATAAAATACTGGAAGCTTATTTTAATCTGATGATCAACGTCCACACCTTGAAAATGAAACTCAGTAAATTTTAAAATTATATCCTCTGATTGTGTCTCAGACAGATTCACCTTTTCCAAATTTTGTTTTACAGAAGGTATTGTTTAAACAAAGTACAATAGCTCATAAAAGTGTATTTATAATTAATATTTATACTATCAAATAATGGTAAACCTAGAACCAACATGATTCACCATGCTAACATGGACAAGGAAGGAGGAAACAAAATCAACAGCTTACCCAGAACATCATGTTAATCATCAGAAACTCCAAAAATCTAATGTTGCCAGTAAGCACAAGTAAAATTTCATCTCCTTTCTAATCTTTCCCATGGCCATTGGTCAAAGTACTAGAGAGGAGAGAAATGATCAAAGAAGAGGAAGAGAAAGCCATACTAGGAAATCACCACAGTCCATTCAAACCATCATTCTATCTTCCCTTTATCAGCCTGAAAGACATGTACTATCTGCATATTTCTTTGAATAAATATCTATGGCTCTACTCATCACTGAATACTATATGTAGCTAAATCTGGAGTGTGGTCCAGACTCTGAGTAGGTGACTTCACTTTCACCTTCACCTCAAGTTTAAAATTACAAAGATTCTAGGGGCTGGCCTGGTGGCGTAGTGGTTAAGTTCGCACGCTCCGCTTCAGCAGCCCAGGGTTCACAGGTTCAGAGCCCGGGCGCACACCAATGCACCGCTTGTCAAGCCATGCTGTGGCGGCGTCCCATATAAAGTAGAAGAAGATGGGCACGGATGTTAGCCCAGGGCCAATATTCCTCAGCAAAAAAGAGGAAGATGGGCAACAGATGTTAGCTCTGGGCTAATCTTCCTCAAAAAAAAAAAAAAAAAAAAGCCTGGTTGAAAAAATTAATTAATTAAAAAAAATTACAAAGATTCTATGAAAAGCAATTGTCTAAGGAATTTTAAAACTAGTAACCCTAATTAGCAATATAAACTAAAGACAACATAGAATGCAATTTACGTCAACTAACAGTACAGAAGTTAATTATTTGAACAATTATTTACTGAGTGCCTATCATGTGCTAACAATTATGTTCGTAACTGGTGACACAGCTTTGAACATGTTCCCTGCCCTATTGGAGCTTAGAGCCCAAACGGAAAGATGGACACTGAACAAGCAATTATAATAAAGTAGGGTCCCATGGAGCATATAACAGAGGAAGCTATCTAACTAGCACAACTACCAAATCCTTACCCTCAGTCCTACATCTAAAACTAATAAACAAACATTTTCAATCAAAATCCAACATCTCCAAAACCAAACTCATCCCACCCAAATCCATCTCCCCAACTTTGTTTTTCTAATGGTACCACCATTCTCTCAGACATGGAGACTCACACCCCAAGTCCCTCTGTACTCCAAAAAACATTGACTTGTCTACTCTTATCAAAATCATCTGCCTCTTCCTTTTAATTCACACCACCATCACCCTAGGACTTAGATCTAATCACCTCATCTTCAAATATAACACATGTTTCTTTGTTCATATAAGACATCATCCAGGCCATCAAGGAAATAAAAAACTATCTCACTATTTGAATATATGAGACGTGTACCAAGCATAGTATTATGCGTTAAGGACGTACAGATAAATAAAATACTGTCCTTTCCTTTAAGAAGTTCACAATCCATAGAGAAGCCAGACAAGTAAATGATTAATGATGAAGAAAGAGGTAATATAATTAAGGTAACAAAGGGCTACTGTAGCAACAATAAAGGAATAATTAATTCTGCTTTGGCAGAGAAGGATCAGGATGAATAACAATATAGAAAATCATAAGCTGTTTCAAGTGAATTCATAAAAACAACTGTAGATAATTTTCATGTATGAAGGAATGAATTACAGGTCTGAATATATCCACACATCCCCATTCATAACTACTCTTTTTATTTTGAGGGGCTGACAAATATATGTATGCCACCACTCTTCTATCCAATGCTCATGGTCATATAACACTAATCAATCAAGGTATTCCTTTCTGCTAAACATAGATATAGATATAGATGTGGATATAGCATAAGAATTCTCAAAACAGTGCTCTAAACCAATCACTATCCACTGACCAGAGTTAGTATTAGAATTGAAACCTCTTTACTAAACAGCAAGCTCTCTGCATAGTACCACGTACACAAAAAGTATTTAATAAATATGATGAAGAAACAATGAAAAAATTCTGACATTTAAAGTTCATTAGCAACTTAGTAAAAGAAGTCTGAAGTATGTGCAATGACTGACTTTTTAGAGAAATTAGCAAGGGGAGGTAACAAAACGCATCCATTTAGGATTAGATGCTGAACAAGAGAACCTATTAAGGAGGACCTTGCCATTGATCCTGCTGAGAAAGTCCGCAAAAATGTTTAACTGTAACTTGCGAAAATAAGCACAAAAACCACCTTCTCTATAAATCTTAATACTCATATTCCTTTAAAAACAGACAAAAATCTGAACATAAATACTTGTTAAAATAGGGCATTCATTTATTTTATACAAACAAACATAGGACTAAAATAATTTAAGGGTCACATTCTGAAGTCACTCATTTTAAACATTCATGAAACCTTAATAGGGTAGTAGGGTTGTGATGACACGATGCAAACTGTACTGTAACAAAATGGATATCATTCTGTAGTCTAGGATTCCTTCTGGAAAGAGGCCTGACATAGTAACTAGAAATACATATGTAAATGTACACAAATTCATATATATATAAACATACACACACACACACACACACACACACACAGAGAAAAGTTAAGGTGAATATTAAGGTAAAAATGTTTCTTTTCTTTTACATTGCTCCTTATGCAGACCATGAGCAGAAAGAATGAACTTAAAATGTTTACTTTTCATTGCAGTTCTTGATTATCACTGAGAATAAGTGCTCCCAAGACAAGGTCAAGAAAAAAGTTCATTTCAAGAGAGAAAATGTGTCTTAAAATATCTTAAAATTAGAAAATACCAAAAGAAAGGCTTTGCACAACTTTTTAAGGAGAAAAACCCCTTTCCTTTCCCTAAAGCTGCTGAGAAAGTCCCAGAGCTCCCCCACTCCGTGGGAAGAAAGCACAGGTAAGGCCCTTCCCTCCACCCTTGGCTGAAAGACTAGTCTAATTCACTTTCAAAACATTTCAGGAAGTCCTAGCAAGCTCTTTTTAAATACTTTCCTTGGAAAAACTGAGTTGGCCAATGACACTGAGAAAGATGGAGTTTTATAACTCACCTGCAGAGTGTAACCAAGAGAAGGGGAGGAAAAAAAGTCAAGGAAGCACAGCAGTGGGTCAGGGGATCCCTGAGCATGGCGGTAATTCCTTCCATGAGGCCTCCCTGGGAAGCAGCCAAATGAGAGGAGGCCAGTTCAGACCACCTGTGTTCTTCACCTCACCATCCTATTCATTTGGCAGCTCTCAGAACAGTTTCACTGTTACACTCAACTTCTGAGCTGTCCACTCCACCAAGATGGTTTTTAATACTGTCTTCCCTTCCTTTCCTGCTCCACCTTGTTTCTTAAGCCATTCCCCCAAATCTATAATGCCCTCCTTCTATGCACCTAGCCAATTTCTATTTGTCCTTCAGAACTGCTCAAATCCTCCTTTCTCAAATCCTCAGGTAAAATCTTAACTGACCAATCCCTAACATGCATGAGCTTACCATCTTTTGTAACAGTATCATTAGCTAACATTTAATAAGCACATACCATGTGCTAGGCATAGTTCTAAGGTCTTTACACGAACCTTTAATCCTCTCAAAACTTTATAAGATAGATCCTATTATTTTCCCCGTCTTACAGATTAAAACAAACTAACTAAAGAACAGAGATGTTAAGTAATTTATCCAAGATCATATAACTAATTAGTATCAAGTTTACAAATTCAGTACTGTACTTTTGCTAATCCCTAGTCAGTGTCATTAACTAAAGAGCAAAAACTAAATGAAGGAAATATGAAAAACATACAGTTGTACAAAGCAATGAAAGACAGTACTGAATACTGAACAACTTTTTCATTTCAGCCTTTAATCTGCCCTAAAGAAAAAAACCTTCCTAAGAAGCTGCTTGTGCTCTAATCTCAAAAGGAATGACCTTTATTCTCAAGAAGTCACCAATGTGGGACTTCTCTTATTTAAATACTGCTGGGCCGGCCCGGTGGCTTTGCGGTTAAGTGCGCATGCTCCACTACTGGCGGCCCGGGTTCGGATCCCAGGCACGCACCGATGCACCGCTTCTCCGGCCATGCTGAGGCCGAGTCCCACAAGCAGCAACTAGAAGGATGTGCATCTATGACGTACAACTATCTACTGGGGCTTTGGGGAAAAAAAAAACAAAAAGGAGGAGGATTGGCAATAGATGTCAGCTCAGAGCCGGTCTTCCTCAGCAAAAAGAGGATTAGCATGGATGTTAGCTCAGGGCTGATCTTCCTCACAAAAAAAAAAAAAATACTGTTTATGTGCTGGGGAAGGGGGGACACAGAAGTTTCCCTCTTAACACAGATCATGAACTAATTTTTCTCAGGAGGAACACTTTAGGAGATAAAGTTACTGATGTACTCATTTATAAAATCAGAATGAAGAAATCAGACTTTATATAGACAGGCAAAGGACTGAGGGCTCAGAATGCCAAACACCCAAATGCCATCATTTTTATAGCATGAGGGAAAAAAAGAAACGTGTTTGCTTTAAAATACGTATCTGAGAAAGCAAAATCCAGTTCTGAAAATGTTTCAGAAATCATAATGCCAATGCCTTTTAGTTATTAATTTAAAACACATACATCAGAATTCTAATACAAATAAATTACAAGCCTATTTTTGGCTAGTCTCTTGAGATAACCGCTCTCTCTCTCA